TTAATGTCACCATTAAGAGGGAAACAAACAGCCCCTAAGCAAAGTTGCATTCCAGGACTATGTTCACCCCCAACACTTATAGATTTCTCTTTTGCATATCCAATTTCATTTATGTATTTTTTTATACACTTTATATAACAATTACAATGTTTGTAATTGTTATATGATGCTCCATTTTCTATGGGGTTTCTTTTTCTCTTTTTTCTTCTTCAATACGTAATTGCTTGATCTTTTTGTAAGATCGCACATTGATAATGTGATATTTGCCTAAGATGTTACAAACATTTTCGATGAGGTTTGTGACTGTATAAAGATTATCTCTAATATCATTTGTAACACCCTAAAGTCCAAAGCAACATGTTGACCTAATAACTTTGAATCCAACTTAAAACCATGATAAAAAAAAGTTATTGATTTAGGGTTTATGATGAAGATAAAAACAAAACAAAAAATTCAGGATTTAACTAATACTCCAACATTCGGCTCAAAATGATTACAAGTGTTTAAAACAATTGCTTCATAGTGAGGATTTATATTGACTAGTGTATTTCCATAACGTTTGATCTCCTATGTTTAGTCTTTTATTTCTGTAGGTTTTATATATGCTTATTTTGCCAAGTATTTTTTTATATTTTATGTATATGGTTTATTTGACCCACCTCTACTTCTGTGACTTAATAAGTTGTATAAAATGGTATACATGTGTGCATATCTTGGTATTTGTTTGATCAAACTCTAATTGCTAGAAAAACTGTTTTAAAAAAATTGTTAATTGGTAAAACATTCTATTCGTAAAATAATCTTTATTTTGAATCGACTAGTTTGGATATAGACCTAAGTGGATAACACAAGACTGTTTTAAATTTAGATTAAAAGAAACGAATTATTGGAGAAGGGTTTGAATAAATGCGGGTGGCATAACATAATGTTAATAATTAATTGAAACATTGCTTACTTGTAATCACGTTCTGATTATCATCATCATGTGGTGTCCTGTCCTCTAATTTATTATTGGTTGGTGCTCTCCATCAATTATCTTATAAATTAATATAAGACATATCCTCAAGTAAAACCCTAACCTAGCTACAACTATAAATAAATCATCTAAAATCTGTTGTCTTAGAAGCGAAGCACATTCCATTGAAAAAGCTAATCAACTCTGACTTGCTTCTATCGTTACTTTACACTTGCATCCCATACAAGTAGTTGGATTCTCAAACTTTTTGTCCATTTGAATCGATTTTTAAGCTTTTCGTTTTTAAGAGGAAAGGGGGTATTACAAAACATCACATGTATGTATATACAGCTAGCACTAGTAGCCAGGGGATACAAACAATTATATATACATTTATCTATCTATCTACCCATCTATCTAATCATCTATCTATAACTTCAACTTCAACTTCAACTTCAACTTCAACTTCTTCGAGTTTAAGTTGAATTTGATGTTTTTTGGGTTTTTCCATAGAGATGTTGGTAGACAACCTTGGTTCGACGCACCAGTATTGTGCTTAAGATCACGGCTGTGATACATAGTCCAGACATGATAAAGAAAGTGAGACAAAAACATACCGAACCCTCACACTTGAGTGGCTCATCCCCAACAAAAAGCTTTGTTGAAGAATTTTCAAGGCGTTGATTCCTTTGTTGAGCTTGCTTTTGTGCCTCTGCGTCATATATAGAACTGGCAAGGAAGCCTGAGAAGACCAGGGAACCAGCAGGGTTTGCAAGGGTCAGAAAATTGTATAAAGCTCCAAACTTCTTTAGTCCAAACAGTTCTGAGGCAGCCGCTGGTACAATAGCCCAATGTGCTCCATACCCTACACCGATCAATAAAGTACCAATGTACATTGCACCAGGCCAACCCATTGCAAAGAATAAATGACCAATTGCCATTATTGCCTGTGCAACACCCATTGCTATTGGCCTTGGATAAGCATACTCTCTGCATGTAAAATAAACATCAAGTTGTATATATATATATATATATATATATATATATATATATTCAAGAATTACACCAACCAACCAACCAACCAACCAACAGTATTATTATTAATTACCTGACAATGACCTCTGAGAAATACCCCCCACCAACACGTCCTAAGAAGTTCCAAATGCTGATCATAGAAACAAATATGTGTGCTTTCTCATATCCTAAAGACTGACTCATCTGGCCCAAGTTATCAATCACTGTCAAACCCGAACCAGATCCTAGTAGAAGTGACCAGAAGATAAGCCAAAAATCTGCCTTTACGAGAGCCTGTGCCAAGGTGAAGTCTTCCCCTCTGTGTGGCCCTCTTCTCCTCTTAACTCTAACAGCCCCTATTGCAACTGCTTGGGCCAACTTTGCTTGTAGTTTTGCAATTTGCTTTTGCCTTTCACTAGCAGGAAGCAAGTCCACTTCCTGAGGCTTCTCGTCTTCCAGCTCACTGAATATAACATCATTAGGATCTGGCTCAGATTTTGATTTTGGGGTTTGTGGACTGGCTAGAAGAGATTCTTCTTTTGAGTCCATTGGATCCAAGGAAAGGGTCATTCGTATAGGAATCATGATTGGAGCTACCAATAGCAAGAATAAAACCAGTGTCAAAATCTTAACTATGGTTTGGTTCAGATCAAACAAATCTTGCACCAACATAATCCCCATTAAATAAGCAGCCAAAATGAGGCACACACAATAAACGAATGAGAAACTCGATGCGTCCAATGATCGGAGCTGTCTATGACCACCAACTGGCCTGACAATAAACATAAGAGTTATAACCACCATAGATGGCCCCACTGCAACCATAAAAAGGAGTGAGGCACGATCAGGCCAATTGATTGATGCGTATATCTGGGTCAAAATTGCACCACCCAACCCTGCAAATCCCTTGAGTATTCCAACCACAGGCCCTCGACTTCTTGGGAAGTTTTGAACGCATGACACTAATGCTACTGTGTTGAAGTAGGTCTCACCATTCGTTCCAACAAATATCAGAATGCACATCTGCATAGAAACATGATTTTTAATTCCATCAGAGAGTTTAACATTTTTCCATCAGACATACATTTACTTTATATATATATATATATGTAATACTTACAACATAAATTTACTTTATATATATAAATAATACTTACAACCCACAACGGCAACGTCGGTACTCTATGGGTGGCAATGAGCCAGACCCAACCATACCCAATAAAGTTCTTGATTGCACCAACAAGAAGGACAGCCCATAAGGGTAATATCTCGGAGAGAGTTCCGGCCAAAAAGCCAACACTATCTCCGAGATCCTTGGCTACACCCAACCTTGCGACCTGCCTCTGATTGTAATTTAAAGAGGTCTTAATGATGGGCGATAAACTTCCGAATAAGTATCCGATGCCGGCACATGATTGTACCCACATTGCTACCACAAATACCAGCCATCGGTTGTTGAAAAACGCAAACATGAATTCTGTAAACCTAACCATCTTGGATTATTTGAAAAAGATTAACTTGGATTCAAAGATGAATTTAAAGGGTAGAATGATCAAGATTTAATGGGGATCAGTACGTAGAATCTGGTGGAGCAATCATAATTGACGGGCTCATAATTTTTTGAATAAACTATGATTTTGGTCCCTGTGGTTTATAAGAATCACTTAAAGTGGTCCCTAGACTTCAATAACTACAATTAGCATCTCTACTATTTTCATTTTGATTTAAGTAGTCCCCGCGCCTAACTCCGCTAGCAAAGCAACCATTAAAAGGCCCCATGTTCCCCTCACGTGAGGGGTAATTTCGTATTTTCATATTTTCCCTTTTCATATTCGACTTTTGGTCTTTACTTCCAACTTTCAAAAAACCCTTTCTAATGGTCCCTAAACGAAACACACGTACACCAAACTCCGTTCAAGCTTGCAATCAAACATTGAGCTTCAGTCTTCACTATTTGCTTGATAAAACTTCATCATCATAATCGAACTTCACTTTCTTACCTATCAATGGCAGACCTTATTTGCCTAAATCTTTACTGCCCAACAACATTGGTTGCACCAAACTATCATGTGGATCACAGATCTAAGAACAAATCAACAATTAAATGAAGATTGAGAGATTAAGATGAACATGAAGATGATCAACCGGTCAACTTATTTTATTCATGAAAACAGTAAACATACAAAGCTCTCTCAATCTCAGACGACTCTCATGTGAAAATACAGAATGAACAACTTGCTAATCTAAGCTCATGTCACCTATTTATAAGTAACATTTACAAGATAAATCCCAATTCCCTTAGCCCAATTACATTGAATGTAACAATACAATAAAAGTAATTGACTTTGTAAAACTTTCTAAAACTTAGGACCATTTTGGTCCTAACAATCTATCCCCAAAGTTTTATAAAGCAATTGTTGTTTCCCCAGATGATTAGAAGAAAAAATGATATAAGATTAACACAATGAAAATAGCAAATCTGTCGGCTTGTTTATTGATTTAAACGTGAAATACAAATTACAGTGTTTCTCTTTGGCGGTTGCTTCTATATAAGCTGATATTACAAAATAATGAGATGGCCTATTCTAGAGCTAGGAAGCTATATATATATATATATATATATATACACACCTTGAAGGTATTTACACATTTAGTCTCTCTACTTTATTACAAACAAAAATATAAACCTAACATATCATAAACAGGTTGGGAGGCCAAAGAATAAAAGGAAAAAGGGTGTTGATGAAATGATGACCGGAACAAATGGGAAAAGAACCAAACTGACTAGGGTGTGAAGATGTCACATGTGCAAAGTGCAAGAAACAAGGTCATAATTCGAGGACTTGCAAAAGAATTTAATGTCAAATGGGTTGTATTTTGGTTATGGAACAAGTTTCATTTGCATATGTTTTGGAACTTTGTGTGATGCTTGAAAATATTTGTTCCTTTTGTACTAGGGACCACTTTCTGTGATTTGTGTAAACCACAGGGACCAAAATTGTAGTTTACTCTGATTTTATTTTAATCTAAAATCATGACTTTAGAAAAGTAATATGACTTTAATTAAAAGACAACAAGGTCGATATGTCCGAGTGGTTAAGGAGACAGACTTGAAATCTGTTGGGCTTCGCCCGCGCAGGTTCGAACCCTGCTGTCGACGACGTTCTCGATTATTTATGTTTTCATTATTTTGCATTTAAAAGATAAAAACTAATATTTTTAATTTTTTAAATGAAAAAGTAATAATTTTTTTTTTTTTTTTTGGAAAGGAGAGTGGGGTAAGGGTTTATGTTTATATAATAAATAAAAGAGGTCCACAACCAACCAAACAACCAACTCCCTTTGGACTTGGATTGGAGGTAGCTTATTATTTCAGCCAACTAGGGAATAGGGAATAGGGATAGAGAGAGATTGAAGAAGAGCGACAGTGAGTGAGAGTGGAAGGAGGATCCCAAGTCTCAGAAAGTGATCCATGGATCCAGACGCTTTGTCGAAAGCATTCGTGGAGCATTACTACACCACCTTCGATACCAATCGGGCTGGCTTAGCTAATCTCTACCAAGAGACTTCCATGTTGACTTTTGAAGGTCAGAAGATCCAAGGCTCTCAGAATATCGTCAACAAGCTCACATCTCTCCCTTTTCAGCAGTGCAAACATAGCATCACCACCGTCGATTGCCAGCCTTCCGGACCTGCCGGCGGTATGCTCGTTTTTGTCAGCGGCAATCTCCAACTAGCCGGGGAACAACACGCTCTTAAGTTCAGTCAGGTATCCTATCCTTGCTTTATGTTTTCCCTAATTTTTTGGATCTGCACATATACACATGTATCTGTCTATCATCTTCAGATTTAGATCCCTTTGATCGCAATTTCAAACATCACAAAATCTAGATTTCATACAATCATTTACGGTTTTATAGGACTGTTCCTTTGCCTATAGAATCGATAGTTGATCGTTTCTAATGAATGCTCCTGCTTGTCTGCGCCTGGCAGTGATAGTAGTTTACATTTTCATACGAAATCAGTGCTCGTGTGCTCATAAAACTTGCAATAATCTACACTTCTATTAGAAACTCTTATTGCATATAGATTATAGACCAATAACATGGCATTTGCACATGACAGCACTGAGTTCATTCTCAGTGCGCCTTTTCATTGAAAAACTTTTACATTCCTTCTGAAAAAGTAGTGGTTCACTTTTTATGTACTTGATTGAGTTGGTTTTTCGACTTGACTTCAAGCATATTAGGAAGGATGTATATTGTATTAGTATTCCTACACAAACACAATTGCATCGTTGTTATCTTCCACTAACAAGTGTTACCTGTTACCAACATTCACGACACATGACTGCTTAGTTTTCCTCATCTATGAAGATGCGGTCTCATCGAACTGGGATGTAGCTGTTACAGTCATGGGTTTCCTGTTGCATGTTCTTGGAACAGACGAAGAACTGCCTTTGTAATTTACTAATTTCAGCTGTAAAACCTTTCTAGGTTCTTCCGATCCTGCAAAAGAAAGAAAATGTTGGCCGTGCAATGCACCTAACTGTTGCAACTTTAGACATATGAATTGCAGTTTGGGGTGGATGATAATCTTGTAGATAGCTTCCGACTCTTGTAATCTTGAGATCCATTATTTTATTTAGTTATTGTGTAGAGCTCATATAGATCTTCCTTATTTGCAACAATCTTATATAAAGTAAATAGATATATGTTGTGGGTCGAGAGCTCACAGCTGATGATGTATAGAGAGAAGGAAAGGTTAAGGTTACAAGAAGGTGGAGGTGTTTCTTTGGTAGAACCAGAGGGAAGCAGAGGTGGATGTTAGGTCCAGTGAGCAGGAGAGACTGTGATAGACATGAATTGGCAAAACAACCTTCGACGTATACAATATTTTGGCCAGATCACTGTTTAGATTCTAAATAATGCGTTGTTGCTCAACCTTGATCTTGCATACTTGAAAAGAACCTTTTCCAGAATGTAGTAATCTGCCAATATGTTGAGACCTGAATCTTCTTTCTATAACTGTTCCTGACCGTTGTGCAAATGAATGTTCTTCCTGCATCAGTTAACTTTGTATGACCGTAGTGAAGAAGTGTTTTTGATTTATAAGGTGGCATTATTGCCAGCCACCAGTTATACCTTTTTAGGTGGTTGTATGATATTTAATAAATGCTGCATAATTTCTATGCTTTTATTGAGTACCTTGTTTTGGTCATATTATGCTTAACCCCCCCCCCCCCCCCACAACAAATTCTTAGGTATATCTTTATCTCACGCATTGACATGCATGTGCATTTGATTCGTTCCATGAGTGTCAATATGAGAAATTGTTTTGCATTGTGGGTAGATAAGATACCACATAAGTCATGCATCAGATCGTTGTTGGTGGAAGGATCAAAGGTATTGCAATAGAAGAGCATGCACATTACAAAAGAAATTGTATCAGCAAATAGCAGGTCAATTTGGTTTTTTAAAATAAAAGATTGAAATACTATGTTCATAATCTAGGGGCTTCTTTTTTTAGTGGGGTAATATAATCTTTGAATTAATATGGACATGACAGATGGCAGTGAAAATCATGCTCTCTTTGTATCATGATTTTACGTGTATAATTAACATGGTTGCTGAGCACAGCTAGCTGATGTTGCTGCCATTTTGGTACTTCCATTCCCTCGGTTAATACCAAGTTGCATCATCATCCAGATTATTCTTTCACAGATATGATGAATTTTAAGAGTGACTTTGCATGTTATACTGGTGTATTTAGTTGTTACACTTTCTCCCTTTTCAAATTCTTTTCTTGGCATACGGAAACTAAAGGTGAAATCAGTCATTGTATGTCTTGGTTCAATCTCGATTTCAACCAATTACATCTGCTCACAAAAAGCTTAGTTATTGATTTCATACTCCACTTGTATATACCGGTTAGATACACTCATTATTACAGGAGATTCTTGATGATTAATGTAGCTTGGCAATGCTCATATTGGATTTCCTTTTTTCCATTAGAAGTTATCATCTAAAAAGATTCATAAATGAAATCAGTGACCACATGTCTCATATCTTCCTGAAGATTGCATTATATGGTTACCAAAAGCTTTAGGTTATTCAATAAGCTTAATTGTTTTGCATCTCATATTGACATGACGATAAAAAAAGAACTCATAGACATGGTTTCCCGGTTACAAAATAAATTTTAGCATATTCTCTTAGATATATGATAAATGAAGAGCAATAACATGTAGCAGAATTTTGCGTTATCTCATTTTTCGGCTATTTATTCTGTGCAGATGTTCCATTTGATGCCTACACCACAAGGAAGCTTTTATGTGTACAATGACATATTCCGCTTGAACTATGCATGAGGAAGGATGCCCGTATACACTGAACGTCCAATTCCAGAATGTGCTTGTCAAAATTTATTTACTTTTTGGTGTTAAAGATGTTAAACCATTTGAATGCTTCTTTCCCTCCTTGAGAACAAGGAAATCATGTTTCTCCCTAAGAAACTCTGTTGGCTGGCTATATTGATTGTCTGATAACCGTAATTGGATGAATTGGTTGTATATGGCTTCGGTTGAATTAAGTGCGCTGTGATGGCTGTTTTGTGTGATATAGCTTCCTTTATAGGAATTTGGTACGACTGAATGGAGCAGAGTAGCATTCTGTCATTGAAACAGTTCAATTTTCATAGAGAAGCTTCTCAGTGATTGAAATTTTATCTGCTGGATGGCAGTCCTTGTGATATGAAGCTGATATTGAACTTGCTCCTTTTGGTACTTGTGTATTTGAAATCAGGGAAATTGGTGAGGGTATGTGTTCAGCCGCATATATACTCTTTTGGTATGAATCCCCCACCAAGGTGCCCAATAAAAATGGAATTAGAATTATCATTCGAAGGCTGGCTGTTTACATTATTCATACCTTATTAACCCATAAATTGTTACGCACCCATGCCATGATTATATAATATAGACTCAGCTGAGCTTTGAAAAAGATGGTTTTAATCCTACTTGCAATTAACCCTAAAACCCGAAACATTTGCACTTACTAGAGCTGAGGTCGATGTTAAACCAGAATGCTCAATCAGATCATGATCCATTTTCATGACTTCCAAATTAAAAATTGCCACCATCTTACTTGCCAATTTCAACACCAATCAGACCCCGCTTTTTGTAGATACAACAACATCAATGCTTGTTATATATTAAAAAAAGAAAAGAAGAGAGAACATGTTTGTTTAAACCTTGATTTATTTAGTTTATAATCAAGTAGGCAGGCTGCCTGAGGCTGATGAAAGGGAAACAAGAAGAAGAAAGCATAGTTGAGATATGGAAGTAGACAGAAATTGAAATTTGGGTGGTAATTAAGCATAGATATGTATGTCTAGTATGATAAGAAGCAGAATGAGGAACAAACCATACAGCAGCATGTGCAGTAAGATGGAGATTACATTGGTCTTCATGTTCATGAAACCAATAGGGGACTCATTTCCAGGCATCTGAAACAGCAATCCTGGTGCTAGAAACGCAAACAGTGCTGCAGCTATGATGGGGGCCGCCCAGTCATTCATTTTCACAACAATTCAAAATGATGAGGGTGGGTTTAGATGTAGAATAAATGGAGAGGAAAAGCACCAACTTTTTTCTTTTTTACATGTTTTATGGCTAGTGGTGGTGCCCACAAAAGGCATCAATTAAGCTTAGCTACCCTTTTTCTTTTTTACTAATAATTGCTACTGGGCATCTGCATTGCATATAATACCATTCTGAAAAAGAAAGCATATATAGTTCACTTTAGACCACATTTCTTCACCACTGGATCAAATTTATGGGTCTGCAGTAGTTGGAATGCGCTGATTATGAACATAACCACTACCACTAACTAAAAAATAGCAAACAAGGGAGATGATGTAATTAGAAAGAAGAGAAGAAGTTTGATTTGTGACATAGATATCTGTCAAATGAAATCTCTTTTCTTTCTAAATTCTCTCTAAAAAAAATCAAAACTACCACCAAAACTAATTACCAACTTGATAGAGCACAGATACAAGCTAACAAGTAATGCAAGTAGCCATTACAATTAGAGCAGGTGTCATGGACTGTTCCATTTCTTTCCATCAATGGCTAGCTAGTGAGCCATTGTTAACATAAACACAATCAATGCCAACAAAATAACAATTTTATATATACAAGTTGTCAACTTCAATTTGAGACGGCCAAGTATATGATTCATCTTCCAACAATCCTTCACTGTGATTATCGGTGTCACCACCTCTTACATTTCCTAATGGAAGAAGTGGATGATGATTTAATGGATCGCTTGGGCTAGCCTTGGAAGTATGTATTGTGTGTTTTGACAGAAGAGAGAGAGCACCCTTTGGTTCAACTAATCTTTCAGGAATTTGGGAGGAGGCTTCAGTGCCCAACAGGAATGGGAACTTTTTCTCCCTTGCAATGCAGAAACGGGTATAGGGATGTGATGGTGTCCTCTGTTGAACGCTAACATGCACCTGCTGCTTCAACTTTTCATTATAAGGCCACCTCAGAGGAATGCTCGTGTATTCTGGTGAGCCACCAAAGAGCACAAGTTTTGTACCTGTAATTTACAACATGATATATCAATACCATAAATGTTACTGTAATTCGTTTTGACTTGGGTAGCATGGTTACAGGATATGGAGTACCCACCCCTCCCTCCTCGAAACATATAAAATGCTTCTAACAAAGTCCAACAACTGTAACTTTGAATTTACCGCCCATGTCATTAATGTTAAATCTTCTTGGGATAACGAGCCATGGTTATATTATTAGTTCATAATATATGCTGGCTGACTGTACATACCTGATGTAGACAGACTAGTAGTAGGTAAGCAATGTGTATGAGGATCACAAACCTTGATGATTGGTTGAAAAGCTCCCATAATTCAAGTACATGGATTCTGGCTTAGGCTTTCTCCTACGCCTGTTATGTCCATCAAGACGCTTCCTGCAACTCCTCTTCACTTCATCAAACTCCCCAACTGAATGGAATCTATCAAATTCACTCAATTGGTCAGAGATTGTATTTGTATAGAGCCTATGATGGAACAGCTAGAAGAAAACAACAATAAAAAACAGAAGCCATGAATTTTTTAACTGTACATTTTTTACAACAAAACTCGTAAGAATTTCAGTACGTCATTACAATTTAAAGGTCACAGAAATCTTAAATGATGCCACACATGTTTTGTGGTTTGAAAGTTAAACATCTGGAAGTAGCTACAACATCATTATACACATCAGAGCTTGCAATATTATGAACTTCACTGAAATATATTGACATTCTGATATCTCAGCAGATCTTCTTTGATCCTGCTGCTGTTTTGCTTCAGCAAACTCCATATCTGCATTGCAACAGTCTCTTTCTGGGGGGTGAGGGTGAGATATGCCACTAAACAATTACAAAAGCAACATTCATTTCTCCTGCAACAATATTGTACCATATCAAAGATGGACATTGACCAAGGAGCAACCAGTAGACACAGCAAAGTGGATCTCAGCATTCTCTTTACATACTAAAGTATCTTTCATTTATTTGTTTTTAAATTTTTTTGGACCATCACCTTTTATCCTCCCCAAAATGAAAAATCCCTGCTTTTTCCCTCTTTTCTTCCATCTTTGGACATGTATCCAACCCTCATGGCCTTGACATTCAGCTTTTCTCTCAATTCGTTGTGGTTTTACTTGTATAGACTTGTGCCTCAATCAACACCGCCCTAGTTGACTTGAATGCCTCTTATCTATCTTTTGATAAACAAAGTGCCTCCAAATACTTGGACCCTTCTGAAAAAGTTACTCTACATAACACAGGGAGTTGAAGCTCGGAAAGCAATACTATGTGAAGTTAAATAGATGGAATTAAATAGTCAAAAGGACTTTTATCTTTGTTATCAAGTAAGCATAGAATAACCAACTCCAGTTTTCTTGATACAGCAGAGATGCATTTAAGAATATAGAATCATATTTAACTGATCAAGTTTGAATTTAAACACATACAAATTAAAGGGATATCAAGAGTTAACCTACTGCATTGCTGGCAAAACCTTTGGTCTTTGCCACCTATGGTGACAACTGGGGTCTTAGAATGAGTTTCACAAACCCTATGGCGCCGATGATAGTCTCTACAGCTAGTGAGGTCTGCTGTGCATCCATCCACTAAACATGATATGTGTTGTTTCTTAGATGAACCAGACATTGTTGAATGTTTTTGCTCATTCCATTTGTTGAATGATTTACCAGAACTTGGATCAACAGAGAAAACCTCCATATATTGATTCTTGTTGGTATCATCCAACACACCAAAATCCAATTCGGTCATGTCCCATGAAGACGATGCTTTGAAAACCCAATCCATAATCTTGTAAGCCTCTATCACAAGAAGAGATGTGAAGTTAAGTAGAGAAAAAGGTAGCAATTCAAGTTATGCACAACCCAGAAAGCAATAATAGTAATCTACATCCCCTGAAACCAAGTTCGATATTTTATATTAATAGCAATTTGAAAAACACTGAGAAAGTTGAAGTTATTCCATGGATGAAATCAAAAGAATCTAGTATGATCATCACATGGTAACACCCCACCCACGACACACATATAAGAAGCAGCCCTTTGTGTGTAAATTAAGATGAGAGAAAAAGGTGAAGTGAAAAGGAGAGAACATGGGAGCAACTCATAAAAGCAAAGAATCGGAAGAATACTACAATCATATATATTGTAATTTGCAAAGGGAAGGAGGCATAAACCTGAAGATTCTTTCTTGAAAACTGGAAAATCAACAACACCTGACATGGAATTCCATAACACATATAATTTTAATTATATAAAGGAGTATTTTGATTGAAAGGGTGGTGTGTGTGTGCGTGTATATATATTTATTGGCAACGGCAACGGATACGGCAATGGCACACACATGCAGATAAAAGCGAGGAGGACCATTTGATCGAGAAAGAGAGGTTTGTCTGGCTCTGGAATGGTCCCCTTGCCCTAAGTTAGGGTTTTCAATTGAAAATGAGGAGCAGTTGAAAGATGGTGATGTTACGAAATGAAAAGACTTGAATCCAAAAGCCCACGACTTTCATCTTCTTTGCACAAATCGTTACTTTTGATTTTGTTTTCCACGTTGATAATAATAACCCTTTTCTTGTGGTGATTGTATACAAATACAGATGAAGAATCATAGGCCATCAAATAGGCTTACAACTTCAACACAGAAACAAACAAGTATTGGGATTCCTAAAGACTAGGACTTTACCAACAGGAAATAAACGTTTCTTTATCTACTAGAAGAAAAAAATCACTACCATCTAATCTTGAATATTCCTGAAATGGGCAGGAGATTCCATGACCATTCCACTTTAGAAACCATACCAGAAAGGAAAGATGAGATCACCTTGAGGGGTTTGTTTGAAGCTCAATCTCACCGTCGGAATCATCCCTTCCTTACTGCTGGTTTGCTCTTGGACCATTTTCCCCCAAAACTTTGGTTTCTCTGTTATTCAGACTGGCCTTGTTGCTTGTAGCGATAATTTGACTAACTACTGCAACTGATGTCTACTACTTGAAGACAACAATAGCTTTCTTCTATCCTCAACCCAGGATTTCAAGATGCCATAAGCTTTTTCATATAATAAGAATCTTAAAACTCTAGTCAAGTTTAAAAGCTTGCAGAACATGCTTTAGCTGCCATAATCATTTCTTTTTTATAATAGATATCTATTAGATTAGTTGATAGTAGCTTATTGACAATATTCATTTAGAAGCACAGGCATGCAGTGAAAATAGTCAACTGCTGCCTCATTCACATTTTGGATGTTTTGGAGTGCCTTTGAGATCAACAGTCTTTACAAGGCACCTTATGCTGTGATAAAGAGGGAGATGGCTATTCTAAAGCATTGGTTGGGGTTATGTTGTGGCAGACTTGGTTTTGAACTTGGTGAGGGATTGGATTCATTCCTATTCCCATGGCAATGGCTGTACCATATTTATTAATTACCATTCAAAATCAAAATGCAAAAGCAGTGACATGAATTGAATGTTATATATCTGGTGGTATCAAGTCAAGTGCAACACAACATTACAAATGCAGGATAGGATTAGGATTAGGATTAGGATTGGGATTGGGATTGGTATTGGGATTAGGATTAGGTAAGGTAATTAAGGTACTAATATCTTATAAGAGTGTTGATGAAGAGGGCAATTTGAGTTGTTATTAGTTATGTATTGTAAAGATGGGATGAAATAAAAGGTGGATGGATGGAAGCAATTGGATTGAATATTGAATTTATGATATCATTCCTCCAACAACTTCAAACTCTTGTTTCTTTCAGAAACTCACTCTTACCTGACCTTATATATTTTACTAGTGTATTGTAATATGTAATGAAATGAAGCTTACATTCCAAAAGTCTCTGCTTCCTTCCTTTACTTATCTTAAATTTATAAGAGACTCGATAGAAGAAAGAGACCAACCCAAATCAAATACACCTTCTTCTTATTATTATTATTATTATTATTATTATTGTTATTATTATTATTATTAGGTAGTTGAAGTTGATCAAATATTAATTAATTGATACTATGCTGTGCTATGTTATGATTAACAAATAGGGGAATTCAAAGACTTTGTTATCAATCATTACTCTTGACAAACAATTTTAAAAGCTTATCAACATTCATCATCATTATCTTGGATCAATTATTCTCCACTAATCATTGAGTTTCAGCCTATGCCAATACAACAACTCATTCTTCAATTCCAAATATTTAGGCATATAATTTATTATATAGGATCCATCCACCACTGCATAATCTATAATCAACAGTTGGTTGGTATTCATGCTTACTAGCATCTGCATCCACCACCCACAGAACCACAATTAATTGATCCTCAAAAACATATATATGCTAGATGTATTTATCTATCAGTATATAATGCATGGCCAATCTCAAAATACAATTAAATCTCATGTAATCACTAACTTGTTTTAACAAAATTAAATAATTAAAAGTAAAAAAGAAAAATGGATGAAAAAGCAACAGTTCCATATGTATAATTAATACTCCCCTGCTTCCCATTTATCCATCCACCCTTAAGGACATATTATGTATCAACATAATACATCTTTCTTTCATCCTACCATATTAATTACCATTCAAAATCAAAATGCATGAAGGATTGAAGCAAGCAAAGGATCCTTAGTTTCATCATAATTGTGGTTGTAAAACTCATATGAAACCAAAAGCAAAAGGTTGAAAAAATATATGAATGAAAGCATGGCATGCATAATAAGCACTAGTCAAGTCAAAGGTCTCCACAGTGAAAAGAAAAAGCTTTGCCTTGGGATTCGATATCTTCTCTTTTTGTCTTTCACATTCCTTCCTTTTCTTAGTTAAAACACTCCCAATATTCTTTTTAATTTCAATTTCTTTCTGTAAAATATATATTATATATTTCTTCCCCACAAGATTGATCCCAAGGCCTCAAACATCATCCTTACTATACATGATTTTCCAAGATGGCAGATAAGCCTCCTTCTGAAATCCAGATTGCAATTGCCAAGAATAAGCAACAACTATTACCACCCAAACGCACCTCCAACAAAGACAGACACACTAAGGTTGAAGGCCGAGGTCGCAGGATACGGATGCCCGCTCTATGTGCTGCAAGAATCTTTCAGCTCACTAGAGAATTAGGTCATAAATCCGATGGGGAAACAATCCAATGGCTCCTACACCAGGCAGAGCCCTCCATTATTGCTGCCACCGGAACGGGGACCATTCCTGCTTCCGCCTTAGCCTCAGCCTCAGCCTCAGCTCCACCTTCGCATGGGCTTTCCATTTCCATGGGATTACAACATGAACTAGGTGGTGGTAGGACCAGTTGGCCAATGGTTGGTCCGATATGGCCCACAACTGGATTTGGGTTTCCGTCGTCATCCAACTCTTTGGGCATGGAAAACTCCAACTACAACATGCAAAAGATTGCGTTTGACTTGCCTGCAGCTGGATGTAATAATCTGATAAGTTTTTATAATCATCAACATGAGCAGCTTCCTCCTGGGTTGGAGCTGGGACTCTCACAAGATGCACGTATAGAGGTTTTCAGTCAAGAAGCGTTGAACCAGATGGATCATCAGGCCAGAATGCAACAACAACAACAACAACAACAACAACAGCAGCAGAGTTCAAAGGATGATTCTCAAGGTTCAGGGGGACAGTAGGTACCAGTCTTATAAATTAAGCCAGCCTAAAGTTGAGCACTTTGTGTATTTGTATTGTGTAATATGGTTATTAGAAAAGAAAGTGACAGGATGAAGATGATAGGGTTTAGAGGTGGATGCTTGGAGGTTTGTGTTTCTGATGCTTATCTTTTTCTTTCTTTGTAAAAATCATAGATTTTTTTATCATATGATTTTGTTGTTACCACATATATACATGCATATCTATATATATAGTTGGTCTGATGTTGCAGGGCCAAACTATAACATTTCTTGTTTGCTTCAGAACATTATAACATGGCAATATTTTGATTGATATATAGTCTGGTTGCCAAGAAGTATATATATGATGCATGAGTGATGAGTTTTTGTTCCTTTCTAGTTTCTTCTTTACTATATGATTAATTCCAACAAGTGTCTTTCTGTTGTCATCTAAAATAGTTGATTTGTAACGTGGCTTTAATTGGTAGAGTTCCCTGTAACTAGTTTAGAAAGAACATCCATCTTTTATATATATATATATATAGCATTGCTCCTTTTCCCTTTTGGGTCTTGGACTAAAAAAAAAGGGAAATTGAAAGAAAATAGAATATTAAGCACAAAACATGCATATATGAATATGATGGTTATATAGAAAAGAATATATTAATTATGAGCTAGCACCTCCATGCTGAAGCAGCAAGAATGGATCTGTCTTGCCATCCTAACAGCAAACACCCTCTATCCTCTGTCAACCTGTAACCATCACAAGAGTACAAACTAAGTAATATTTTTGACTGAGTCACTGCGTTTTCACTCAAAGGAACCCCTTTGAACCCTTTTCCCTCCATGATCTTCCTCCATTTCTCCAACCTCTCATGCCTCATCACTCTTTCTGCCCCTTCGCATGCTACTATGTTCCTTATCTCTGGCGCAAATATATATTGTTCTACTTTCGCCCTCTGGGGGGAGTCTGCCGGGAATGTTGCGTCCAGCGAGTCAAAGATTGCCGAGTAGTAGTGCAGTGCTTCCAAGAATCGACCCAAGAAGTAAGGCCCATTATGGCTTGCTTCTTGCTCCACGATGGTCACAATGTTTGGGGCTTGGTCTCGGATCATTGCTAATAAATTTCCAAGGCAATGACCTGGGACTCGCTGAAGCCGGTTTACGGAGTTCACTGCCAGCGCTTCACCCACTCGTCGGTTAAACATGTGTGGTTCCAGGTCTTCCAATTGCTCTCCTACCGGGTGGAACTCAAATGGAACATGGAGAGACTGGGCTAGCTCTGACAAGCACCGTCCTGTTTCCCTCACGGATTCTGGAGATGAACCGATACCGGTGATCCGGAGAAATGGCGGTCCACCTGGCCTGGCTGCAAGAGCTTGCATGAAAGCAGGCCACTGGTAACCTTGGAGGATATCAAGATCGATGACATGGACACGTTCTTCAGCCTCAAATGCCTCAAAGATGGCTTGGTTGGCGGTGAAGTGAGCAAACTTGATGTAAGGGCAGGCTTGGTAGACAATCTGATAGATTTTGAGGATTTCCATTGCGTTAGGAGGGAAAGGAGTGAATGGTGGTTTTGGGGTGGAGGAAGCTGCAGGTTTTGTGGTGAGTGTAGCGGCAAGACGTGCCTTGAGGGCCTCTGTGAAGCAGGAGGCGACTCTTTGCATTGAATCACCAAGTAGGGAGACGACACGGTCGAGGTGGTGAAGAAATTTTCTTGCTGACATGAAATCCTCTTTGGCCACTGCTTCTGCACAGGCTAGGAGAAGGTGGACCAGTTGAAGTCCACTATCATGCTCCTGTTGATTACGTATGTATAGTAGGCATGTACCCATTCATTCATTAATTTTTTAAAAGTAAACATGATAATAAAAATCTTTTTTTTTTTTTTTTAGTTAGTTAATTTCTATGTGCATGTATACTAAATATAGCGAGAGAGATGCGAATGAAAGAATTACCTCGGGACCAACTGGCGGAGGCACCATGAGATGGTTATGACTGATTATTGGTTGAGGCTGTAGTGGGGAGGGTCGTGGATGTTGTCTATGGTGTTGTTTTTCTTGTCGTCTCTCTTGCTCAAGTTGTTCCAAGAGAGGTGCGTTTGCAGGTGGCATTTGGTGATACATCTGATCTCCATGCAGCTGTGTTTGAGCTGTAGTAGTAGTAGTGGTAGTAGTAGGGTGATCATGATCAGCATAAAACCTAGAGGGGCTGGGCAAGGTCAAGCAGTCCAACAATGCTGGGATGGTGGTGAGTGAATCATATGATTGATCGGAAGCAGTATGAGTGGTAGTAGAGTAGGACAAGAAGTCATGATCATCTCCGTCGAAATCATCCAAGAAATTTTCAAGTGCGGGTAAAGAGATGGTCTCGACTTGCATGAACTGATTATTAGGGGAGTTACTGAAAACCCTTTGCAGCGGACTCATGCCTTTTGGTTTGTTAGAGTTATTATTATTAAAAGAAGCAGCAGCAGCAGCAGCAGCAGCGTGAGGGTTGAAGGAATAGTTGTTTGAAGGTTGTGCAAGTAGTGGAGAGGAGATCATGAAATCAGCAGCGTCGAGTTGCTCAGAGAAGAAGGATTCCCACAAGGAATTAGTGTCGGGAGATTGGATGTCCATGTCCCTTGGTGCATGAATAATATGATGATCTTGTTGTGGCTGTTCTTCTTCTTCTTCTTCTTCATATTTGAGAGAGGTGGTGGTGGTAGGAAAGGTAAGGCTAGAAGGTGTAAGAGTAGTAGTAGTGGTAGTAGTAGTATTCATCATCATCATGTGTTGGAGATGGGAGGAAGATGGAGTTTTCTTGGTGGTGTGATCGTGGTGGGGAGAGGTCGGTTGGAGCTTTAAGCATTGGCTTTCGGTTATTAGGCTGTTCATGTCATTCTTCAAAGAAGACGACGTCCCCATGCTTGGGTGTATCATGAATTACAGCTACGGTAGAGGATTGAAGAGGGAGATGGTTATAATTTGTGAAGGTGAGGAGGTGGGTTTAATTTAATGGAATTGGAGGTCATGGTTTGTATTGAAGTGTTGGATATATAGCGATCCAAGGGTGTTTGCATTGGGAAGCCCAACGACTATCAACTACCTGCTAAAATCTTATTTGCCTTGTGGGCCGGCGCATTAATATATATATATATATATATGTATTGCATAGTATGGTATATACTATATACTATACATTGTATATATATATATATATATATTTATTAATTAATAACATAACATTTTACATTTACTTGAGGATCGAGGAAGATGGCATATATTTATTTATTCTTGCATCGTTTGACTTTATTAATTTCCATTCATATCTTGTTTTCATCTATGATTCAATTCGTTGTGTTTTTAATACACCAATAAATATTTAGCTTTTTCCATGTTGTTATATATGTTCTTAATTAATTGAAATATATATCAATAATAAATAAAAAGTATTTATAACAAGATTAAGAAAAGAAAAGGCAGTTGTTTAGTTATTGAAAGGGACAAAGAGCAGAATATAATTAAGGGCGTCGTTGGATTTCCCAAAGGAATCAAGTGTTTGTCTTTCTTTCTGAATTTGTCTTCTCCATCGTCCTCCTCCTTGTTCTTGCCTTCACTCCCATTTAATTTTATATATATATATTTCAATTCTTACTCCTAATTTTACTTATTATGTATATTCCTTTCCTCTTCTTCAATCTCAACATTAATTTTTTTATAAATTGATTATACAACAAAAAATCCATGAGAAAATATTATTTAAGCAATTATATACATGAATTTTAATAATTAGTTTTTTTGTTTCTACACCCATTCATTTTAGATTTTACATCTTCAATTCATGCTATATATATATATATATATATATATATATATAGAGGAACGATCAAATGAAAATCACTTCAATTTGTAAAAACCGTAAAAACTACTCTCATCCGTCGTCAATCTTATGAAATTTTTTCATGAAATTGTTAATCTTGTGAAATTGTTTCATATAATACTTTTTTTGATGAAGTTGTTTCATATACTAGTTAATGAAATTTTAATGAAACTGTTTCATGTATTTCTCTAAAATTAAATTAATGAAGATGATAATATCCATGATTAACACCATGCACAATAAAAAATGGTTAATCAACCTCTCATAATTACAAAAAAATAAACAAAATAAAAAATTATGATTGGTTGAATGAGGTTTT